CCCTGGAGCTGAGACTGGCTGGAAGCATGGTTAGGGCAAAGGATAATCTTTGAGATCTGTTTTGGCAGCAGAGCCTGTGTGGCTGGACAGGTGCTCTGTGAGTGAGTCCATGTGCTGGTGTTGCTCTGTGAGTCTATGGCTGGTGCTCCGTGAGTCCGTGGCTGGTGCTCCGTGAGTCCGTGGCTGGTGCTGTGAGTCCCTGGCTGGTGCTGTGAGTCCCTGGCTGGTGCTGTGAGTCCCTGGTTGGTGCTCTGTGAGTTCTTGGGCCAATAGAACTGTTTAGGCTTTGGAAGATTAGACTGAGTCCTGCTTTGGGCTATCGCCTTTCCCTAAGAACTCTTTATCTGGTGAAATGGTAGATTTCAGGCTGTTCCTTGCTCTAAGGAATTCATCTTGCAAAGCAGCTGTTTCTGTCTATGCTGATAACAACTGTGAGGCAGAATTCCTTTGCAAGGAATCACCTTATGTTTAGTATGACATGGCTGATAAGTAAAGTTTGTCCTGAAAGTAAGAAAGGACAGTCTATTAACTTAGAGTAAATTGGGATGCTATAGGCATATGGGTGTCTCAAAACCATGCTTGTGAATTTATCAGTCCCACGGACTACTCCAGCCTCTAACCCCCTCACTTGGATAATAAAAGGAGGGACTTCTAAAGTAAGCACACACAGCAGTAACCACTGACCTGTCTGTCATCCAACATGTTGTGTGTACATCACGGAATGGAGAGGAGATGAACTCCTGACTGTCCCCTTTGCATCAGCTCAGCATTGTCCCGCTGCTTGATATGACCCCCTTGAATTACAGAGTCTCTACCTGGTCCCACATCTATCTTCTCCTTGCCCTGAGCCCACTCTGCCCTGAATCAGCACTACCTTGAAGTTGCTAAGTTCTGTGTGACTGCCACAGATCCCACACTGTGTTTGTGAAAGTCATATTCAACCGCCCCCAGTGACCCTCTGTGTCTGGGTCAGCTCTCTGCCCTGCCTTCAGTGAGACTTCTTTGAACTCTACCTCTTTAACTCTTCTGTGGCTGTTATGTAAGTGACACGTCTTGTGAAATGAAATGTGTGTGATCTCTGAGTTAGCATCTGAGCCTAACAATGGAATAGAAGAAACCGTGATCACCAGTGGCCACACTGGTAAGTGAGATCAAAATCACTTGGTCAATTGTAGTCCTTAAGACTGATACAGTTTGTGAACTTATTACTGTCTGATAAATTAGGTCATGTCTCTCCGTGTTGTGACAAGCCTGTCCCTGGGTTTATTAATACCTGGAGAGCTCTGGATACTCAAGAATTTAGATAGAAAAGGCAAGTCTTTTTTCTTTCTAAACTGACAGCGGCTTTGGGAAATGACAAACAGGATACACTTTAATTACTAAATTTGATAGCACTTAATTCAGAAAGGTATGAAGCATTGGGATAAGCTTTCACAGGATCTGTGGCTCTTGTGCACACCACCAAAGCATGTGGATAAGTGAGAGCAGAGGGAAATTAATCTCTTGGATGATGGAGAATAATCCCCACTTGTGGTATATGTTGGTATTGGTAATGAGTACTGCAAGCAAGCAAACGCTGTGAGAACAGAGTGTAGAACTTAAAGTATGGACCCATGGAGTTCATTTGGAAGCAAACCAAAAAGGAAGGAGACCACTGATGTCCTGTGATATTTAAAGATATCTAAATTGCATGCAGATCAAGAGTTTAGTATGATAATTTGCTTTCCTGACATCTGTTTGAATCTTGAATATAAATACTCTTCCCATACAAGTGTATTTTACCCATCCATGTCCATTGCCCTTTGCACTATTTGGAGCAGAATACGGCATATTACTTAGAGCAGAATGGGTCATTGGTTAGAAGTTAGAATATTGTACTTGCTATTCCTTTTCAGGTCCAAGATCTCTTTTTCTTCGAGGAAAACCACTGTAACTCATGGTATATAGATGGTACACTTTCTGTATGCAATTTTCATTTATATTATCAGTACATGTGTTTTTTAAGGCCCAAACGTTTAAACATTGTGCTTATTTTTCCAAGTAATATTTTATAGCTTTATTGTTTCGAAAGTTGCTTTGTATATATATTGTGTTACTGAATTGCAAAGTTAATGCAACTAGGTGAGCTTGTTCAAGTAGAGTACCCCATTCAGCTGCAATAGAAACATAAGATCATATTTATGCATAGTAGATGTTTAAATATTTTATTACAACACCATCCCAGTAATGCATTATTATATTAAAGAGATACTCATGCATTTAATAACTATATTAATTAGAGGATATTTCATTAAGTCCACAGGTTATTTTCCTTAACTCTGTTCTTAAAGAGTGACCATACAGTAGTAATTGAATTTCCAACCCACCTGAGCACTCAGGGGTGTCATTTCCCTTTATATGCTTTGAAAGGTTTCATCTCACATGAAAATAAGCTGTATTTCACTATAATGAAACGACAGGTAGTTGTTTTTAGTGATAGTCCACCTTGGCTGAAAGTTATAAATTCATCTTTAAATTGAAAACAGTATTTTTCCTGGTGTGGAAATCTGACAGACCTTTTTCCTGTGAATGCTCGTAAAGACAGTATTTTTGTGTTGGTGAATACTCCAACAAACCTGATAACTCATTTCATAGTTCTTGTCTTTGCTTATTATTTTCTCTAATTATATCTTTCAATGGAAACGTTTGGTAAACATTCAAAGTATAATTCAGCAAAGGAAATTTGATTATGCATTAAAATAATGATATCCAGACACACAGCTTTCTAAAGAAAGAATTAAACATATCCAGGAGAATTTATTGCATTAGAAAATACTCCACACATACTGTTCATGGTAACTGAGTCCTTGGTAAGTGTCAAGCAGTACGAAAGAAAGGTTGAGGACTGTTGAGGTGACACAATATTGAGTTTCTATGCTCTTAGCAATGCACATCTACATGATTTAGCAGTTAACCAAAGAAGGGATATACTTGACAGTTTCTTTAGAATGTACTCGGACAGTTTAGCATGTCGACCTTCATATCTGCTTATTCTAAGAGAGGATCAAAATTTTTCTATCAGTCGACTTCTGATCAAATTTGGAATCATTAGAATTAAGTCTAGTTCTCTATTCTGCCATAACTGATCAAAATACACTAGTACAAAATCACATTGCATATATAATTTCATCTATTTTGGAGGATGCTTCTATGTTAGTGAGTTCTTTATGTGGATTATATTTTATAAATCTTGAATTTTTCTTTATAATAGTTTTAAATTGTCATGACCAAATGAAACTTAAATGTAGAAGGATTTGTTTTAGCTAACCACCACTTCTGAATTTTATTGTATATTCCTTGGCTCCATTACATCTGGACCCCAAGTGAGGCAAGATACCATGGTAACCAGAGGGTGTGGCTGAGGCTCTTCATCTTATGGCAGACAGGAAGCAAGGGCAGAGAATCAGGAGTATGAAGTAACTAGGGCAAGGTATAGCCTTTACAGAGAAACCCCAAAGGGACAACTTCCTCCAGCCATGTCCCCGCATCCCATAGTCCCTCAGTCTCCCAAGTACCTGTTCAAACTTAATCCATCCATGGATTAAGACAGAACCCATATGCTCTAACATCTACAGATACACTCTCACGCATCACATCTACACATGTGCTTTACTGACTTGGTAAGCGTGTCTTGATCCAGGCAAATGGCGCTCTAAGATTATCCACCACACTGTCCATAGTACATATTTTTAATCTGGTGAGTACTTGGGGCACAATACATATTTATTGACCATTGACTGATCTAGGCAAGATGAAGTGTGATGTTTATTATTATAAATAAGCATTATTATAATAATGCTTATTATTACAAGCAAATCATACACCCATAGACTGATTCCACCTTTCTTCTACTAGTTGTTCATCTTTCTGTGCAAGGCACCAAATGTATAAAATAAGTTTATTGTGTGTTGAGTGTGGACGTAGCCTCTGCTTGTTTTCTTCCCCAATCTCCATCACCCTTCCCTAGTGGTGGACCTATTAATATGTCCCTTGATACAAGAATGTCTAGATAAATGGCTGTAATTTTCCACCTTCCTTTAAATAACAGTGTCCAAATGACCAGGCTCCAATCAATAAAATTCAAGTAGGAACATTGTATGTAAATTTTATAGCACACATTCTTTTTTATGTTTTTCCCTCTCTTCTGGCTGGAGTGTTGGACTCACTGGTGTTCAGTAGCCCATGTTAAGGTCAGGAAGAGGACACATGTTGAGACACCAAAGAAAGATCCTTTACGGGGTGGAATTACTCCATTTTTGGTGAATTTCTTTGCTTCGAGCTTACTTATGTAAGAGACAATACACTGACCTAAGACGCATGAACACTGGATTTTTTTTAAATGTTTAAGTAAGCCTTTTGGTGGTAACTTACAGGTATCTTCTTCAGAAATTCTTGACAAATCTCTCTAACCAAGGTAGAAGATTCTCTTCTATACCTTCATGTACTCTGTAGTGACTTTTGTAGAAAATCTACTCTATTTTACTATCGTGATCATTTTGTATAAAATATTACTTGAAAATAGGATCGGTGTATTATTCAAGTGTCATTTTTTTCATAGCCCACATACATGTTATTGACACACATAGTGTATGTGTAGTAAGTATTATCACAATAATAGATAATAGCTGGGCAGTGGTGGCATACCCTTTTAATCCCAACATGCAGGAGGGAGAGATCTCTGTGAGTCTGAGGCCAGCCTGGTCTACAAAATGAGTTCTAGACCATCCAGAGCTACCTGACAGAGAAACCCTGTCTTGAAAAACAACGACAACAAAAATGTGGAGTTAATTTTGCTTGGAGAAAACTTCGATTTGATGTTATGGGGCAATAAATGCCACAGATACTAAAATATTGTATGCAGAGATATTGTTGTTGCTAGTGGCTTTCTGCCTGGTTGAAAGAAACACTGAAGTTCTTAAAGTTCTGTCCTAGAGACATCACCATTTTCATCTTCTTCACAGGTCCTCTCAAGCCCTGAGTAAATAAGTGGTTTGTGCCCCTTCCAACGGCAGGGCAGAAATCTGCAGCGGTCCCATCAAGTGGCTGTCCTGATTCCTTATTCTGACACCAGGAGAAGACTCGAGCACAGCTTGCGGCAATGTCTGTATCTAACCTATCATGGTGAGTGAATGGCTTTCCTATCTCAAGTACCCATAAACACATACAGTAAGCAGGGTTTTGAGAGAGTTCCACTATCAGAACCTGGGAAGAGAACGTTAAAAACTGGGATTTCAGACTGCCCTATATTAGGGTGAGAAGAGTTTTTTCTTTTGTTAGTGACTTTGTATATAGTTACTTTATTTGCATGCTTTCCCCCTCCTCTCCTCAACTCCCAATGTTCCTCCCTTCTCAAATTACGGATTACTTGTTCTTAGGTTATTATTATTACATAAATACATGTGTACTACTGGCTGAGTTATTTAGTGTTGCTCATATGTTATTATTGTTACATATATACATGGGTACCACCTGCTGAGTTATTTATGTATGGATAACACTGACTGCATGGAATCAGAGACCTAGTAAGGGAAGACTGATTCTTTCTCTGTCTCAGGAGCCGTTGATTACCTGTAACTCTTCATCAAGGGGCATGGTCCTGTGAGATTCGCGCCATCCATGTTTAACACTGTCAGTGCTATGACATCTGGTAACTCTAGAAAGAGGACAGTCCTCAAACTGAACACCAGAGGCATTCAACACCTTTCTTTCCACACACACTTGGGGAATGAGAGGTTGGAATACTATATGTGTCTAATGTGCCTTTCTATGTTTCCATTCCCTGACTTAGGACTAACAAGTGAAAAGTGTCTTTTCTTCCAGGTTCACTACTCAAAAAAAAAAAAAAAAAAAAAAAAAAAAGCGGGGGGGGGGGAAGAAAGGAAAATCTACCTAAATTAAACTAACTATAACTCAAAATTCCATTGTGGGTGGTGGGTGTATTTTTCTCAATAGCTCCATTGTAGCTCACCTTTGGCTTTCAGTTCGTGTTTAATCTGCCCGTGATTATAAAAAGAAGTGGAAAGATAATCCACTGGTGAATCAACAGTTCCTCTATGCCAGTGAGGAGTGGTAACTTCCAGTGATGAGTCTGAAGCCATTCACTGAACTTCAGGATAGTTTCTTAAATGTAAAGAGAAGACTAAATGATGCTTATGTGAACCAACAGCATTTAATATGAGGCTATAAGAGAATTCTGGTAAGCCCCCATTTCCTTAAGAGCTCGTTTCATTTCTTCTGCAAGCAGAAATAGCATCAGAGTCAAGGTTTTCTTGCTGATTTGTTCTAGCTCCATGAACTCATTTTTAGATAAGTAAGCAATGTATTTAGGGCAAAGGGTATAATTATTTGTTTAAATTTAGAGTAGTATTTCTGAAGGACCTAATTCTTAATGGCTTCCATAAAATGTGTCCTCAGATGCTTAGGTCTCGGTGCTGAGGGCCTCATTTGGAAAAATAAAATAAATAAAGAGAATTAAAAGATTTAAAATATATAAAACTAGTGAAATACTTGGATATTAAGTTATTACTATTGAATGTAATTTACTTTTGTATTTTTGAAAATAAAATTATCATTACATTTTTAACTTTAATTTCTCTAAATCCCATGGCTCAATTCAAATCCGTAAAAATGCTGACCCACTTTTTTAAAAGGAATTTTCCCCTGGCAAGTGTGTGGGAAATGAATCTTCAAAGGCCAAAAACACCCTAGAGGGTCCAGTACTTGCCACTCAAACATGGGCACCCAGTTCAAATCCTCAGCGCCCATGTGAGGAATACTAGGCCTGGGTGTGCATTCCTGTAATTCTGGTGACTAAATGATGGAGACATGAAAATGCGTGGGGGTGGGGGCAGGGTGGTGAGCACCCAGGCTACCTGAATTGATGGGCTCAAACGCTAAGGTGGAGAGCAACTGAGGAAGAGAGCCAGTGCCAACTCCTGGCCCCCACATGTATGTGTACATATGTCCATGTACACATATTCATAGGAACACTAGAGTAAAAGTAGATGAAAAGCAAAAGGGACATCCAAGGAGGAGTGTGATCAGGAGGAGGAGAATTGAAAGGATACAGAGGAGAAATGGAGGAGGAGGAGCAACCAGGAAGAAAGGGGAAATAGGGAAGCAGGAGGAAGAAGAGATCAAAGCAGATGTTACTGTCAAATCACAAGACAGAGTGAGTCTGACCCAGTTCCCAGAGGCAGCACAGGGCCCACACAGGGGCCTGTCTGTGGGAGCCTCACGCCACCCTGCTGTGATGGGATGATTTGATGTAGGACCACTTGACACAAGGTAAGCCTCACCAAGAGAGGAAATACATCATCCCAGCTCAATTGTCTGTCAAGGCTCCCACGAGTTGGTAGATATTCTATAAATAGATGCTGTGGAAAGGAGTGAAAAATGCAAAACAGGCAATTTAATGAAAATACGTACCTTCATTCTAAAAGAAAAAATTAAATTAGGAGGCATGCATAGAATCTAACATGTCAGGAAAATGGAATGTTTTTTGTTTTGTTTATGTTGGAGGTTCAGAGGTGTTGGAAGGGATGCCAAGGTGATTTAATTCGGCAGTGTCTGCAGTAGATTCCTATGCAGGGAGATCTGCATCTGTTCTATCAATATCACCATCATACAGCTGTCATTCAATATCACCATCATACAGCTGACATACAGTAGACAATATCACCTCATATAGCTGTCAATATCACCATCATACAGTAGACATTATCGCCTCATATAGCCGTCAATATCGCCATCATACAGCTGTGCCATCCTCCCACTCTGTGTCTGAGCTGCCTCTTTGTGGGAAAGAAGAGTAGGAAATGATTCTCGGGTATTCCAGTCAAGCCACCACTCATGCAAGTTTCTCACTCTTGCGAGAAGTGACTAAGCTTTTCCACATTAATCCTTGCAATTCAAATCTCCTAACAATTCTAGCCTGCATTTTGAGGGAACACTCACTATCCTGCAAGGGTTTATTAAGCAATGTTTAGCAGCCTCCCAATTTCCAGTGGAAACTCTTCATAAAATTGTGTGAATTTAACGAAATTACTGTTGTCCAGGATAAGGCTCTGCTTTGAAGTCTAGAAACAAAAACATAGATGTACTGCCTCACACTGGAAACAAATGGTACTGTCAGGTTTTGATTGGAATGTAACATGGGTGAGTGGATACCTGATTTATTTTGATGAGTGTGTCCTTTTTGTGGAAAAGAAAACTGCAGGGGAAACTAAGTAGGAGTGTGCTAATGACAGCAAGCAGACCTGTGCCTCCAAGGAACAGTCAAAGCGATAAGGCAAGGGCTGGTTTGTCTAACAGGGTTCCTCAGAACACCTTCTGCCTAGAAGTGAATAGCAATTTCATCGTGTCTTATGGTTCTTTTGAGTTGTGCTTTTGCATGACTCTCTTCTGCTTGCCCTCATTTACTTCGGTGCTGAGTTTGCAGTGAAAACTCACATCAGGGCTCCTGAGATGGCACAGGAGGTAAAGGTACCTGCTGCTGGGCCTGATGACCTGAGTTTGATGCCCAGAATGGATATGGTAGAAGGAGAGAATCTACTTCTGCAAGTTGTCCTGTGAGCTCCACATGTGTTCTGTAGCATGTGTATGTTAATGCATGTACATACACACAAAAATAAATAAGGAAAGGAAATGCTGTTGGTAAAAGATATAATTAATAGGAGACACGAGAATCACTAAACAAGCGAAAAGGAGATGGTGTGAGGCCAGGGAGTGTTTCCCAGAACTAAACAGCCTTCCCGCCTAAAACTCATCAATTCCCTATTGTTTGTATTTCAGTGATTACATATATATATATAGCAAGTACAACGTGTGATTTTTGTAGCACACAAGTTTAGTGAACATTGTGAATAGTGAACATTTGCATTGCCTTTACTATGCACTAGGCACTCTTGTAGAATTTCCAAATTTGAACTCGTAAGTCAGTTTCCTAGGTGTGTAGTATGTTATTTGCATTTTTGTGAATGGGAACTCAGAGGCTCAGGGTATTAAGTAACTTTCTCAACATAACAAAGCGACTAAGTAGTGGATTAAGCAAGTGCTAATTGCCTGGTTCCAATTAGTACCCACTCCAAGACTAATTTTCTGCACGCGCGCACACACACACACACACACACACACACACACACACACACACACACACACACACACACAAATATATCCCTCCTTGGAGAGATGGTTCAGAGGTTAAGAGCACTGGCTGCTTTTCTAGAGGTCCAGAGTTCAAATCCCAGTAACCAAATGGTGGCTGACAACCACCTGTAATGAGATCTGGTGCCCTCTTCTGGCATTTAGGCAGAACACTGTACACAATAAACAAATACATCTTTAAAAATATAATATCCCTTTTCTTATTTTGTATGCTGCTGTTTTGTCATATTGACAACATCTTTTGCCTTAAAGGAGCTTATCAGTTTTATGAAGTCCCATTTATTGATTGTCGCTCTCAGTGTCTGTGCTACTGGTGTTCTATTTAGGAAGTGGTCTCCCTTGCCAATGCATTCAAGGCAACTTCCCACTTTCTTATCAAGTTCGGTGTAACTGAATTTATGTTGAGGTCTTCAATCCATTTGGACTTGAGTTTTGTACATGAGGATAGATATGGATCTATCTACATTCTACTACATGTCAAAATTCAGTTATCCCACCTATGGTGGGATCGCTTGCTCAACCTTGACAGGGGGGGGAGGGGGGGAGGCTTGGTCCTGCCTCAACTTGGTATGCCAGACTTTATTGACTCCCCAAGGAAGGCCTTACCCCCTGTGAGGAGTGGATGGGGGGGCATGGGAGAGAAGGGGAGGGAGGAGGAATTGGGGTTGATAAGTAAAATGAAAGAAAAAATTTAAATTAAAAAGAGAAATATCCCTGATATGTTTGTCTACTCCCACCACCAAGCAGATTCTGTAGCTTCCGTTTCAAACCGGAATGTTTCTTTTAATTTTCTTCAATCTGCACACTGTGGCTCATCTTTCAAAAAACACTGCCAGGTATTAGAATACTGTTGGGAGTGAGGTGGCTGATGATAGCCCACCGGTTTCCTGGTAATATCAGAAGTGTAGTTGAATTTTATAAAAGTATGTAAAGTGATTTCCTTAAAGTGTTACAAG